ATTCTGCTATTTACTAACTACATAACATTCCTCCAAATCAGAAATACACTTGTGTTGATTTCTATGCTTCTTCTTGTGCAAGTCCAGAATCTCAATTTGCCATTAATCATTCAGGACTGAGGACATCAAAGAACAAGTATTGCCTCAATGCACAGACCCCTGCTTTCCCTCCTCCCTGCGTGCATTCATACACTAAGAACAACTGACTTCAAGCACTGCTGGAGGTTTCTTGGCTTTGCTACACTAGGTTAAAGCAATAAAGATGGTATTATCATACACATACAATTTAAAAATTCACCATACAATTAATACAGAAAGTAAATATAGCCATATAAATTAAGAGCTTTTATGAGTACTAAAACTTGTGAATAGAGTAACTTTGTTAGTGTAGTGAAAAGCAAAACTTAAATTCCACAGAGAATGCAAGAAATTTATGTTGATACAATCTATTTTTATTTCTCTGCTCATCTATTTATCTATCTATATATTTCTCTTCATGAACTCTGCAAAAATTAAGTTAACAACAAAGTCTAATCCATTTCAAAGTTCGGTGACTCAGTGTCATCTTCCAAGCCCCAGAAATGTTATCACTGACAGTTCTTGGATATTTCTGCTTGTATTTAGCATTTATGACATTTTTCACTGTTTCAAGAGGTTATTCATCCCTCTACAGGGACCTCCTCCAATTTTTGTCATGGCAGGAGGTTACTTTCTATTTGAAAGCCAATTGGCCTTGGAAGTCAATTTCAAAAGGAATGGATATGTCTTATGCAATCACATTTGGGGAGAGCTATGTCAGAAGATGGTAAGAGGCTAGAAAAAGAGAAGAGCCATCTCTAGGCTACCCCATCTATCCTCCTCACAAGTAGCAGCATCAGTGAGGAAAGGAGAATATTCACTTCACCTACCACTGCAAAGAATTCAACACATGTATTTCTGTTATGAACCACTAATTTTATTTTCCAATGCTTTTGCACGAGATAGCTTCCAAATGCAAAATGCTCCAGGAATCCCTCTAGGACAGAAATTTCCCCAAAGTTGGATAATTACTTTATACAGAGCTTTAGACTTTTAAGACAGATTTTTACTTAAGTTCTTTCCAATACTACTCCACAACTCTGTATAAAAGTGATGTGGTAATTTCATAAATTAGTTTTTTTTTTTTTTTTTCTCCTATTTCTAAGAGACCATATCATCTATCTTATTAAGCAATAAACTTTTGGGGTTCTTATGCAAGAAGTATTTGCGTTGTCTGTTGTTCTAGGTTTCTTATGGCATTATTCACAGAATCATCTTGGTTGGAAGAGACCTCAAGATCATCGAGTCCAACCTCTGACCTAACACTAACGAGTCCTCCACTAAACCATATCACTAAGCTCTACATCTAAATGTCTTTTAAAGACACCCAGGGATGGTGACTCAACCACTATCCTGGGCAGCCCATCCCAATGCCTAACAACCCTTTCCGCAAAGAAGTTCTTCCTAACATCCAACCTAAACCTTCCCGGCACAACTTCAGCCCATTCCCCCTCGTCCTGTCACCAGGCACGTGGAAGAATACACCAACCCCCCCCTCACTACAACCTCCTTTAAGGTATCTGTTGAGAGCAATAAAGTCACCCCTGAGCCTCCTCTTCTCCAGGCTGAACAAGCCCAGCTCCTTCAGCTGCTCCTCGTAAGACTTGTTCCCCAGACCCCTCACCAGCTTCATTGCCCTTCTCTGAACTTGCTCGAGCACCTCGATGTCCTTCTTGTAGCGAGGGGCCCAAAACTGAACATACTACTTGAGGTGTGGCCTCACCAGAGCTGAGTACAGGGGGACAATCACTTCCCTAGCCCTGCTGGTCACACTGTTTCTGATACAAGCCAGGATGCTGTTGGCCTTCTTTGCCAACCGAGTACACTGCTGGCTCATATCCAGCCAACTATCAACCAATACTCCCAGGTCCTTCTCTGCCAGGCAGCTTTCTAAATACTCATCTCCCAGCCTGTTGAACATACCACGCCATGAAAAGTAAACCAAGTACTGGAAAAAAAAAAAAAAAAAAAAAAAAGCAGCCTTGTCTTCAAAAAGATGTGAAATGAGGAACCTGTTCATCATACTCATAGCTTTTTAGTTTCTCTCTGCTCAAAACAACTTATTGTAATAGGCTCTAAAGGCTAGAGCAGGCACCCACTCCCTCCCTAGAACACCTTATCCAAAGCTTCACCTCACATTTTGAAAGTCAATGGTTAAATAGGACAATCTCAATGTAATGCAACCTGGGACTGTCCACAGCCTTTTTTTTCTTCTCAAAAAGAAGCCCTTTCTTTGAAGATAACAGAATTTGAAGATTACTACTTCTCCTTCCTTGTGTTCATTCTATCCATCACATACAATATTTCTATTGTCCACATAATGCCTTAGATTTGTTGCATGGATACACATCCACCTTCTTTTTTAGCTACGTAAAACAAGGAGAGGAGTATTTACATCAGAAGTGGATACATTCAACATATTTAGAAATAGTACAGGAAACCCCACATGAAAGAGCTAGCAAAAAAAAAAGGATAAAAAGCCTGTTTCTCACTATTCACTCTCTCCAAGGCTGAGTGGGGTGAATGATTCATGTAAAGTAACCTAAGCATGTGGTTTGATTCACAATGGAAAACTATGTTAAGTTAGTCTTACTTGCGTAACGTAAAAACAAAGTAAAGTAGAGCACATCCTACATGAAAAGGAACACTAAAAAGATAAGACTTTACGGTTTAAATACCCTTACACCTTTCCCCAAGACTTTCTTTTGCCTGATGTTGAAGAAACAGATCAAATTTATCACTATTAAATAATATACACTGTGAGTTAACTTTGTCTATCGTACTGGCTGAAAGAGGCAAAGTATATCAACAGTGTATCTACTGATGTTTAAAAAAAATACTATTGTTATAAATGACTGAGTCCCAAATAGGGTTACAATCAAAGTTTACAATTTATTAAAGGAATAGAGGTAAGCAAACAGCGCTGGGTGCACTGGGAGTCTCTGCTCTACCAAGACACACACCAGTTACATCAGGCAGCTGTTTTTTATGCTCCTAGGCTAACACATATTCATCACCACTTTTGGAAAAGGCAGGGTTATTATAATTAGTTTCCTGACACCCGAACCATCCCATGGATGCATATGTATCAGTCTCTGGTGGTCCCTCTGGGGGTCGCTCTTACTGAAGGCTCATAGTCTTCCTCCCAGGCTTTGTCCTTCGGTCGTTCTTCAGCTTTCCCCTCACCTCCTTATTTAGTAGTCTCTGGGCCAGATGTCAGAAAGTTGTGTCTCGTGCAATAGTCAGCAGCTATCTCAAAAAACTCCCCCCTATTCTCTTATCTCCCAGACCCAAGTCTCAAGGTTTACCCTTCAAACCTTCTATCGACATGAACTGCTAGACCGTTCTTTTGCAAGTTACAAGAACTATATACACTAACCACTCTTTCTCTTGGACTTGTGGTTATTTATACAAGGGGACGTAAAACAGAAGGTCACATTTCATTATGAGGCCCTAGCATTGTTCCATATTGACACGAATCAGATGAACATATTTCACACTATCTACTTACAACATTTGCTACTAAATATATTTAAGACATAATTAAAAAAAAAAAAGATTAAAATACTATCCAGTCTAAAAAAAAAACAAAACAGCTTTTATAGTAATGAAATTATTTTTTCTTATTTTTTTCGCATTCTCCACAACTTCTATAAAATTTATCAGGAAGAAACAGTTGGGGATAGTAATTGCTAAAGTTTTTCCACCATATACAGGCTTGTTTTTGAAGATCACAACAGCTTAATAATTTGAGTATTTACAAGATTGTAAATACTCACAATAAATAGTTTCAAGAAGTGGGCAGAAAGCTTAAATGGTCTTGTACAAAGCGCATGCAGTATTTTGTTATGCACATTAACAACTATATAATTACAGTCTTAGTTTGATAAAACAGATTTAGTAAAAACAGATTTAGTAAGAACATGATCAAATTTGATTAAAGTTGTTGCAAGTTAATGGCAATCATGTTTATGTACTTTCGGGAGTTGTTAAATACTGTAACGCATATTAGCTTGTGGTCCTGACATCTACTTAACGCTTTTCACTAACTTGTTAGATTTCTATTAGTATGAAGATATAATAAGCATTTTCCACCAATAACGCAATGGACAGTACAACAATTCACAAAAGTTTTTCAGTTTAACATTTATATATTAAGCATTTGTTTATGAATTTTCATCACGTCCAAGCATTACACAAATTCACAACTGAATTATATCATAGGAATGAAGCAAGCAGGAAGAATATTATTAATATTATCCAAGAAAGCATGCAATACTTCTTGAAAGATTTATTTCAAGAAGGCTTGCCACAAACTTAATCTCCAATCTTTATACTGCAATTAGATCCAAACCTCAGAAATTACTCAGGCAGATAGCTGTCAGTGAAATCAATGTGAGGTAGTTGCGTAAAAGAAGGAGCTGAAAGTTTTATACCATCATTCCTCTGACCCTTGATCTATTAGATGAGCCATCTCACAAAGTTACACACTTAGTTTAGTTTAATTTTCAAGTCTCCCATTTTAGCGAGAGTACAGTAGTAAGTGAAATAGCTCCCTCATTGGAATTTTTAATCCAATGACCTCACAGAAAAGAAAGTTAAAGAAACCAGTATCTTTGAGCACTTTTAGTTAAAGACAAGAACTTCACACTCACAAAAAAACTTGTAACTAAGGATAGCTAGATTTCCCTACCTCACATAGGCATTCTGAGACATGGTTCAGAACAGAAAGAGATGTGTTTCGAAAATTTATGAGGTCCATACACATTCTTACATACTTCAGGCAGAAAAGAATCTACCCAGCCCCAACATGTTAACAGGATCCCAAAACCACTACACAAATAAAAGTTCCTAGGATATTCTGCCCATAGAGAATATAGATAAATCATTCATCCCCAGAATACTAAAAGAGAAATACCTACCTAGCATGTCCTCTCAGGAATAAACCTTCCTGTTCTCTCTGATTCTGAATTCATTCTTAAGAAGCAAGTATAGCTATGAAAGTATGACCCTTATAAAAACTTTGAGTCTCTGTAATGTTGACCTTACAAGAGCCAGGTGCTGGGATTACATGCCACTTACTGGGATTACAATTTATAGCAGCTGTTTTGCAGGTTCTGACTCTCAGTTTTGAGACTGATTTACTCCTTCATGAGTTTGTTTTGTTTTATTTGGTTTTTCCTTCTAAATTTCTGGTTAGCTTTCAATTCATATGAGCTCCTAAAAGGCATTATCAACCTACAGGTGCAATAACAGGAAATATATATAGATATCAGGAAAATTAATTCATAATGAGGGAGATCAAACAATGCAACAGGTTGTCCAGAATGATTTGGGAAACCTTCATCTTGGGAAGAGAGTGCTTAACTGACTCTGAGCAGCCTGATATAACTTGATAATTGCATCAAAATAAAAAGCTATCTCTGGTTTGAGCGGGAGTTTGAGACAGGTGACCTCCAGAAACCCCTTCAACCTTTGTTGTCTTAGGATTCTTTGTATATATCTTTGTCAACTGTTAGTCCTTTACCTAACTCGATTCACATTTTAATTTATCAATTTAAAAAAAAAAAAAAGAGAGAGAGAGAGGTGGTGACCCTTGAAATCAGTTCAGAATAAAATAATGAAAACATCAGTACTTGACACAAGTACATAAAAACCTTAATTCATACAAACTTGACTGTCTTTCAGAAGGAGTACAAAATTCCTTCTTTTTTTTTTTTCCCTATCTCTGCATTCACACATTCATTTGATTGATCCTTCTGGTGACTCAGAGTACCACAGGTTTTCTGACAGCTATCCACTGAGATATTTCAAAATCTCTCCTAATTACAGAATGTCTCCAAATTTCCTTACCCTATTTCAGACATATCAAAACAGTTGTTTTGTTTTGTTTTGTTTTTCTGACAAATCAAAGAATTCTCAGCACCTCAAACTCCTGTAGAACAGAGCGTTTCATTTGATCTGAAGAAGACAATTTGTAGGAATTCAGGGAGAGTTTTATCTTAGGGGGAAAAAAAAAAAAAAAAGTTCTTCTAAATTAGAGTTTGTTTTGTTTTGTTTTGTTTTGCTTCCTGGCTACAGAACACATAAAATGAATGAAAGCTAGAATAGCCTTTAGTCTTAACAAGGATAGAACAATTGCCTCTGGGGGACTACCAATCAACATCCATTTTATTTTATCTCTTATTGGCCGCAGTCCTCCAGGTACTTGAGGATTCTGAGGTTTTTAAAGTCCTGGAGGTTAATGATTAGAAATATTAATAGGCTGTAGAGAGGATTTTGTTTCAGATGAAACTGTTGCTAAATCATAGCAATGTATAAATCTCAAATTAAATGTCCCTTTAACTATCAAAGACTTTATACCTGGTCACTAAAAAATGACAAAGAAATGCTAAATTTTGTGACTGCTTTTTTTGTTCATGTTTTAAATATATGGCAGACTGAATTTGAGGTGCTTATCCCCCCTTTTTTAGCATTATATTTAAGAATTTAAAGCTGATCAGGAAACAAAACAAAAAAAAAAAAAAACATCCCTATATTTAGATTGAAATAAAGCCATTTATATCCTAGGAATGTTAGGATTTTTAATAAATATTTATTTTCTGTACTCTTAATCACTGAGGATGTTAATGCTTTCCATCTCCTTAGTAACTGAAGATTATGTTAAATAATGTGTTTAAGAAAAAAAAAATACGTTTTTGTACACATAAGCATGTCGATTAGCAAATGTAAGTAATTCTCTCTCAGAATTCCCAAAGTGCCATCTAAAGTCTCTAGATAGGTACATTGTTTCTCTCTCATAAATACTAGAGAAATTTCTGTAGAATGGAGCAATGTCCAGCAATGTTCAAATTCTTGTTCCCGCTTACTCTTTTCCATTTGTTTAACCACCCCTCCTTTCACTGTTTTTGTGAGGCCTCCACAGGAAGTTTAGAAATTCCTCTGATTTTCTGGAAGCCTACATGTCATGAAAAACATTACCTCAATGTCACTTGATGCTCCGTTTAGCAGCATTAAAATACCATTAAGGTCAATGTTAAAGAATTAAGCATTGTCTGACCATGTAAGAAACCTTTAAATGGGGAAATCAAATTGAGAAATGCCTCCTTCACCTCCCCACAATTTTAATAGATATTTCTAGATCTTATATATTTTTCACCCTTTGATGATCTGGAGGTACATGATTAATAAACAATAAAGGCTCTCTAAAACAAAGATATATTGGAAATAATTAAGAGGATCTTGCAGGTCTAAAGGATGTAGCTTCATATAGAGAAAGATGCTATCCTGCAAAACAACTACCCTGGAAAGGATTTAAGGGCTGTGAGGGTTAGGCAGTAACCAACAAGAATTCCCAGTGGAATTCTGAGATGGATGGATATGCAAAAACAACTAATGAGAGGGATAGGAGAATGATTTTAGCTCAGTCTGTGGCATCAGTGCTGTAATACTACATGCCACTCTTTGAGCCCCGTGAATAGCTACTATTGAGGAACAAACTTTAGAACAACTCAGAGCCAGAGAAAAAAAGCCTATTTAGTCAGTGACCGGAGGAACTCAGCCTGTGTAATTCGTAACAAAAAATAATTATAACATTATTGTAATTATCTTCACATAGGCACGAACAGAGACACAATTAATGGATACGAATGAGCTAAAATACATAACAGTGACAGTAACTAACCAGGAAAATGTCTGGATTCTTCATCTTTCAGTAGGTTCAAAATCAGAGAGATTTTACTGAACCGTACATTTTAATAAAACATCCACTATTGGATTTCACACAAAGCTGACATTCAGTGTTTTGTAACATACAAGAGTAAGAGTAAAGGAGCCCAGATCATATCCTGCTCTTTTCTATCCTTAACCTCTATGAAGCTGAACGCCCTTACACATTCAGAAAATTTTAGCAGCTAAAATAAAATTTCTGAGAAAATGCTCGCCTTAACAGAGAAAAAAGTGAGGGAAAAATATGCACTATATTCTAGGGGGATGACATGAGGCTCATAATGACAGGTCTAACACCTATCTTCTGGGGAAAAGGTGTAAAAAATCAGTAAAAAATATGTATTAGTAAATGTGCAAAACTCTTCAGCAGTAAGGAGAGTGATCCACTCTCCACACCAGGGCAATTTCTTCATCAGAACTCCCCTGGGCAACAGCAGGTTGGGCTGTGCAGGCTCCACGCTGCCTCTTACTCACCACAGGGAAGGAGGTTCCCTAAGCTTTGTGCTTCTTCTCTCCCAACTGCCTCCCAATGGCACTCATGCAATCTATAAGGAAAAATGTCTCCAAGAATCAAATATTACATTTGTCATCTTTAAATTTCCTTTTTTTCTTTTCTCATTTCATATACATTAGAAGTGAAGTGCAAACAGTCTGCAGACACCAACTTCAGGTTTACGGACAAGGTTAATTCCCTTGGAATTATTCTTTACCATAAAGCCTTCTCTTTTCTCTGTATTCCTCATGGTTCTCCCCAAAGAAGCTCAAAACCTTATCTAGTATTGCAAGCTGAGAGGCAGACTGTTGTTCCCCACAATGGAGACCTGCCCCAGTGGCTTGCTACACCAAACTAGGAATCTGACTGCTGAACAACACTGATGCAAAAATAATTCCTGCTTTTTTTTTTTTTTTTTTTTTTCCTGCACTTAAGTGGTACTTTTCATTCAGATCATTTCAGTGATATTGCTCATACTGCAGTTCAATGTATTTTTGTACAGGTAGAATGGGTAGGCTCCTTGTCATAAGGGAAGTGCAGCTTGGCACAGAATGGAGAACTGCCAAGGACTTTGCAGGGTGGCCTTCCCACTGTAATCTGATGAGGAATGACTGCCCAACAAATGAAAATAAATAAATAAATAAATTGATACCTGCTGCAATGTTTATTAAAAAAGACATTTCCTAATGATTCTATTATTTTTCCAGCAGTAACAACCAGCAGCAATATGGCTAACATGTTCACTGCAAAAAATTACTGAGTTCCAGTCCTCTAGATATGAACAATTCATGAAAGGAGATGTGATAACATCTAAAGTCCAGGACAAAGGCAAACAGAAATCATGCAAATGAAAGCTAAATATAGTTATATGTGGTGCTTTTTCTTCTTTCTCTCTCTCTTTTTTCCCTTAATACTTTTTTTCAGAGGTAATCTAGAATTTAGGCTTTTGCATCCATATACCTCCTTTCCCTGAGTTATCATTGGTGATGTGTTTCACAACTAGCACTAAATTTCTATCACACTTTTCCTCACTGTACATCCATTTCCTTGTTTCTCTTAACTATTTTTCTACTCCTTTTTGAAAAAGATAAACAAACAAACAAACAAACAGCACCCTTCCTTCAGTTCTTAGTGGTGTTTTGTGTCTGTGTTCTTCCGTAAGCACAACAGAAGTCGTTACCAGAACTCCTCACCACTATTACATGTACATATGCAGAACTCATACGAACAGCACCTTATAGCGAGCAATCACGGAACTGTAGGGGTTGGAAGGGACCTCAAAAGATCATTGGGTCCAACCCCCCTGACAAAGCAGGGTCCTCAGAGCAGGAATATTACATTATGCTTGATCTACAGAAAACTGTTCTGCCTCCAGATAGAGACAAAACAGAAGAGAAAATGTCTGTTAAAATCTGAGACCTTTCCCTTCTCCCCACCAGTCCACAGCTGTTTAGAGTACAACCACACCTTTTCCTTGAAATGCTAGTGTTGCCATCTCTACATGGAAGGAGCCAGAATCTATTTCCAAGGCAACAGGAAATTTGGTGCAAGTTAATGCATTTCATTTATGCAGTCTCTCTTTTCCAGCTGTGATGCATGCTGTCTGTTTGCTACAGCAGCTGAATTACTGAAGAGCTGCAACACACACCTCTGCCTTGCTCCATCGCTGGCACCCACAGGTCTTTCCAAGGAGCTTGTTTAACTCCCTAATCAGACAGAAATCTATCTATCCAGTTATGTCTCTAAGTAAATTATTCAATGTACTAACTAAACTAGCTCATAAATAAGCCCTGTGAGGACAAAAACCAGTACAAAGTAAGCACCACGTGTGAATAGTTGGGATAAATGGTGGCCTAACCAGGACCCTCTCTTTTAGCAGCAAGAAGATGAAAAACTGTCACCCTGCATATCACTGAATCCTATCCTGAACAACACTGATTTAACAATTCCTGCTTCTGTTTTAATTCTCCACTTTTTAAGTGGCACTTTTCATGAAAATCATTTTGGTGATCTTTAAAGATCGCTGAATCTT